TTCATTCTCTTGTCTGCGCAGCAGGGACACCGAGGTCCCTGCTTTCCCAGGCCTTTCTCCACCGGCCGCTGCGTCCCTCCCCTGCCTGGGGGCCCAGCCCCTGGTGGTTTTTCCTGGGGACCTGGAGTCTGTGTGGCAGGCATCTCCTGATGTCCCCGAGTGCCCTGCCCGCCCCCTCGGGGCCCCCCGTGCCTCTGTCCCTGCTACATTCACCGGGGGCCCTGAACTGCCCTCCTGGCTGCCCGCTGACCATGTGCTTGGCTTCACGCCTCTCTCGCCAGCTGGACTGTCTGTGGGCCCTGGTGACAGACCAGACACAGGCCTGAGCCCCTGCAAGGCTCTGAGCTCCGCCCCCGGGCCCTCAGACGCTTGTCAAAGGGCAGGTGAGGAGGACCGTGTAGTGCAGATTCCCTTGGTTACGGGGTGCGTGCCCCGGGGTGCCGTGGACAGAGCAACTCTGATCCCACAGGGAACCGCACAGTTGTTTGCTGCTGCCCGACGAGCCAGGCCGTCCAGCGTGTCAGGCACGGTGTGTGTGTGTGTGTGTGTGTGTGTGTGTGTGTGTGTGTGTGTGTCTGGGAAAACGGCTCTGCCATTGGACTGCGTTGCAGGTTGCAAACTCAGAGTGAATTACCGAAAGACTGTCCTTTTGCAGAAACTCCAGGTTGGGTGAGTGTGCTTGAGATGAGGTTTGAAAGCTCCTGGACAGACAGGACCAGGGCGCCAGACGGACAGGACCAGGGCTGCCTGCGGGTTGAGGGAAAAATCAGGTTTTAGGAACGCTGTATTTAATTTTAGGTTTGAGTGGGAGAGCTGAGAAAAAATAGCTTCTGTGTAGCGGTGATTATGGCCCGACAGTCACACGGCCGGACAGACGGCTTCAGAGTGAGGGACCGTGGGAGCCCAGGGGCGAGAAGACTGTCACCTGCACACATCAGCCAGGAAAGGACGGTCAGTCCGATGGGGATTTGACACCAGAGTAAACAATGACAGTCACGCAGGAGGCCCAGTGAAGACAGAGCTGTGCCTCCGACGTGACCCCCACGTCCCTGCGCCGTCCCCACCCCAGATTTCTAGCCTCGCTCCGTGTTTTGTCTTTTCGTGGAGGGGAGTCTTTGCGTGAGAGCAGCCGCGTGTGAGGACGTGGGAGCATCACAGCACAGATCAGGGCGTGGCTCCCTCTGTCTGCTTTCCAGTAAGGAAGCTACTGGAAGGAGGTGGTTATCCCCACCCCTGCCGCGTGCCTTTGGGGCACAGCGTGCTCCCCGTCCCCTGCTCCGTCCCCCTGTGGGGACCCAGAGGGGATGTGCGTTCTGAGGTTGGCTTGCTGGGCAGGCATCTGTAGGGCGCTGGGTCCGCGTGGCCTCTCTCCTTCCGAGGCTCCGAGGCCGGGGGTTTGTGCAGGGAAGCACTGGACTGCCAGCTGATCGCTCTCTTGTGACAGTTGCTGTACGTTTTCTAAGTTCTTTAGAAGGAAAGGTAGATGTATGTGTTTTGTTGCTGCATCGGGGGACAGTGGCCCTAGGGGACGTGGCTCTGTGGACCGCTTCCCTCCTGGACCAGGCTCGGGAGGCGGGGGGACATTGGGCATTGGCTTCCCAGTTTCAGAATATTCTGTCTGTTCTAAATCAGGATTTTTAAAAACAACTTCCTTTCGAATTTTTAAATAAGTGACAGCAAAGAGAAGAGAGCGACTTCCCAGGTAGAGTTCTCCTCTGTTTATCCCACGTTGCCCTGGCGATCTTTCTGTAGACTCCGTGTGTCTCATCTCTCCTCTCCTCGTGGGAAGAGCCTGGAGCGACCCAGGCCAGCCCCCCAGGGTGCTGTGTGAGGAAACTACAAGACCCACCCCAGATGCCAGGGTGCCCTCAGCCCCTGAGCCCTATGCAGGCTCGTTTCAGAAGATGAGCCCCCGCTAACCCCTGAGCCACTGGGCCTACCTGATAGGGCTAGCTGGTTCCCTCTCAGTGTGGCTCCCGGAACTGCAGCCCTTCGTTGGTCCTGAGGCGTCCCTTCAGCTAGTGAGCTGGGTCTCTGGGCTGGGAGCCCCCCCAGTGTCCACAAGTCTGGGACTTCCCTGCTTGGCCCTGGGAGCCCGTCCTGCTGGGTGTGGGCAGGCCACCGTTCAGATGGCACCTCACTGCCAGCTCAGGGTGCCCGTGGTCCCTCCTGGACCCTCTCCCGTGTTCACTGTATTTGTAGCACCCCCATTAATCCAGGCTCCACCATCCCCCCGGGCCTTGCTCCTTCGTGATCGTCTCCCTTCCCTGCGCTCACTGGGCTCTGTTGTTCTGGAAGAACGTGCCGTCCGAACACTGGGCTCTAACTGATGTGAAGGTGGCAGCCCTGTCTCCTCCCCCGGGAGCCGGTCCCCTTGGGTCTGTCCCCGAAGCTCCTCCCCCGGGAGCCGGTCCCTTCTGGTCCATCCCCGAAGCTCCTCCCCCGGGAGCCAGTCTCTTCTGGTCCATCCCCGAAGCTCCTCTCACGTCCCTTCTGGTCCATCTCAAGCTCCTCCCCGAGCGGTCCCTTCTGGTCCATCCCCGAAGCTCCTCCCCCGGGAGCCAGTCTCTTCTGGTCCATCCCCGAAGCTCCTCCCCCAGGAGCCGGTCTCTTCTGGTCCATTCCCGAAGCTCCTCCCCTGGGAGCCGGTCCCTTCTGGTCCATCCCCGAAGCTCCTCCCTCTGGCTGGCCACCAGCACCTGTCACACAGTGACCATCGCCTCAGTGTCCCCTGGTGGCACCATCCGGCTGTGCTGTCAGCAGCAACACCCGCGCGAGCGGCTCCCGGGGAGCTGGGCCCGCCAGCTGCACACACAGGCTCCCTGAGCTGTCACCCGTAGCGCCTTGTCGCGCAGCTTCGTGGGAGAGGACGGTTGTTCGCAGAACCCCAGGTGCACCTGGCCTCCACCACAGCCGGTGGGCCCCGGGGCCCTGTGTTCAGCCTCATGGCCACGGTGCTGAGCTGTGGTCTCCCACGTTCGCTTTCTCGTTCGTCTGTGTGTCCAGCAGCCTCCAGGAGGGGCGTGTGTGGGCTGTGGGCTGATGGGGTGCTCGCCGTGTGTGAGTGCCATTCCCTGAGACTTTCTAAGCCGCTGGGTGGAACTAGTGCAGGGTAGGACCGTGTGTCACTGTGTGTGGCCGGCAGGTGCCTCCGCGTGTGTCTCCTGTTTTCTCAAATCACACGGAGGGTACATCTTTCTCTAGTGCATTTGGGAACACGTTCTCGTGTCCTTTGGATGGTGGTGATTATCCTTTCTGCAGTTGAAGCACGCTGGCCCTGGAACCTGCTCTCCCTGCAACCTGCCCTCCCCCCGATAGCACCTTGCACCGCAGGCTGGGGTCCCTCGGTGTGCGCTGGGGGCGCACGATATCTCGGTGCCTGGCCAGCCTGTGCACGCCCTGCGAGGACACGTGTCACTGCAGTGACCTGGCCTGCCACAGGGCGGCACAGGTGGAGACACCGGGGACCCTTCCTCATGTGCACCCGAGGTCTTTGTCTTTCGTGCACCCTGTCGGCGGTTCTGTGTTGATTGTGAAACACAAGGCGCTTGGACCAGCTTGCGTGACGATGATGTCGGCGGTCCTGGTGGCCTTCATGGCCTTGGCAGAGAGGAGGGAGTGGCTGCCAGGTGAGCCTGAGCAGGGGTGTTGTGACCACAGCTCCAGACCACGGATCTGCTAAGCTCACTGAGAATCGGGGAACGTTTTACATTAGAACCGTCTTCCTACGGGAGGTTTGAGACGGACGCCAGTGAGTGTGCTTGGGTGCTGACCCCACAGACCTGCAGCTTTAAGAGCAGGAGTTTATCTGTCCCGGTCCTGGGAGCTGGGAGCCCGAGACCCGGGCGTGGGCAGAGTGGGTTCCTCCTGAGGCCTCTCTCCTTGGCGTGGAGGTGCCGTGACTTCCGTGAGTCCTCACCGGCCGTCCCTCTGTGCGTGTCTGTAACCTAGTCTCCTCTTCGTATAAGGACACCTGTCCTATGGAATTAGGGTCTGCTCTGGTGACCTGATTGTACCTTAATACCCTTTCCAAGGCCCTGTCTTCAGTACGGGCACGTCGGGAGGCGGGCCGGGGGTTGTGGCATCAGTACTGAAGGGGGGCCCACGGTTCAGCCCCTAACACTGAAGCAGAGAAAACGTAGTGAGCCCCATGCCCACCCTCGCCCACCTCAGCAGTCGCCAACTTCCGGCCACTCTGGTCTCGCCGACGCCCGCTCTCTCCCTGGTCTCACTGATCCGCAAGCAAAGCCCAGACTTGACCTGTAGATGCTCCCGGGTGCGCATGTGTCTCGAGCAGGGCCGCGGGCATCAACCCCGGAGCCTCACACATGCCCTCCCCTGGAGCCTCCTTCCAGCTCCTTTGCTTTTAGTTTGGGGCTTTTGTCCCTGAGCGTCTTGCTCTGCGTTTTACCGATCGCCTCCCCGTGTCTCCCGTGTCTTCTGATCCAGAATCAGGAGGCTCTGTTTCTGTTGGCTTGTCACGTGGCTCATCCACACGGCGCCCGGCTCACATGTCTGTCTCCGTCCACACAGGCCCCTTCACATGGGTGTATGCGAGTGGTGGGTTCCGGAAGCCCGTGGGGACACTCCCGGGTTCTCCCCGTGGCTGCCCCAAGGGACAGTCTCGGGATGGACAGCACGATGCCTGATTCTTCGTCCTTGTTGGCCCCGGGTGCCACTCGGAGCTGGTCTCCTGGGGTCCGCGGAGGCCCCCAGTGAGGTGGGGCGTGTGCGCCTGGTTGATGGACTCGTGAGCACGTGTGAAGTTCCGTTACCTCATCGATGGCTCTTACCGTGGTCACAGTGGCATGTCTGCCGCGGGGGCTCCCGGGCCCAGGGACCTCTGCCTGCCTTCCCCATCTCCGCTGTGCTGCTGGGTTCCAGGTACCCCTTCCACGTTTTCTGCCCCCGCTGGGAGTGCCTTTGCCCAGGAGCCCTGGTTCCGTCTGGCAGGAAATAGTGCTGGGAGCCTGCAGGCGGCCGTGAGGGTCTCCTTGCGCCTGGGTCTGCTCCAGCGGGGACTCCAGACAGAGCATACCGGGCCGGAACAGCTGCTCTGTGACTCAGGGCAACCGTGAACCTGGAGGGCAGCGTCTGTTCCTGGGGACCCCTTTCCGATGGGACCGTGTATCTAAGCCAGCTTCCAAGGAGCGTGAACCAACTCAGCCAGGGACTGTCACCGCGGGCCCCCTGGGACTGGGTTATAAACCCTCAGCTCATGGGAGGGCCGGCCTGGCGCTTTTGAGGGTGACTGGGGCTCCTGACAGGGACAGGCCGCAGCCCTCTGAGCATCTTGGAGGGGACGCGGGTCCCGTGTTAGCAGCCTGTTCCTGCTTGGTCAGCAGCGTTCCTCCCCGTGTGCCACTGCTGCCCCTGGCCCCTGCCCTGTGCCATTGCCGGGGGCAAGGCTAGCATTCTCTCCCTGAGGCCCCGCTGACCCCGCCCTCCGGCCCAGGGCCGCCCTGAGGGGGGCTCCGGTGGGAGCGGGCACGCCCCACCCAGGGAGTCCAGCACAGAGCTGGGTCTTACTCAGGTTGTGGGGGGCGGAGACCCGCTCTCTCCCCGGGGCCCCCCTCTGCCTCCCGGCGCACTCCCACTGGGGAATGGGACGCCCCCCGCTGGCTCCGGGAAGGAAATACCGTGTCCAGCCTAGTTGCTAATTACAGTGCCTCCCGAACGTTGAGCCGGAACTGCCTGGAAACAGCCCAGTTGGCCCCTTTCGTCTGCTTGTGGCCCTGTTTGTTTTCCAGTCCAGCCAGGACGTTCTGAGCACGCGTTTCCTCGGCCCCAGCATACTTGAGAACGTCCGTGTGGCTGACATGGCTGCCCTGCCTGTGGTCCTGTGGCTGGAAACTCTGAGTGTGCTCCGACAGGCTGGGCACAGGGCGTGGTGGACAGCAAGGGCACCGGGAGGTGGCCGGGCCTGGGAAGGACGCAGGTGGGCCAGAAGATGCAAGGGGACAGGAGGGTCCAACCAGCCGGTAGCCTGGAATTCAGGAGGAGTGGCCATAGCCCACAGAACGTTCTGGAAGAGGCTGCAGGAAGCCTTCTGAGTCCTGCCCCTTCTGGGGACCATTTGCCTCTCCGGGGCAGGGCTGAGCCCAGTGGACAGCACGTGGGCCCAGTGCTGGGGCAAGGTCAAGGCAGGGTCATGGGGTCCTGGGGAGCAGCCCGGGAAACACACGGGGTCTTAGCCCAGGTGGCCGGGGCCCTCCTGCACCCCACGGGCCCCCCGAAGGTGCTCGCCTTCCCCAAGCCGCTCACGTGGCCCCCGTAAACCCGTGTCCACCTTCTCCCCGTCCTTCAGGCCCAGCCAGGTGGTCACTGCAGGCCTGTGACGCTCACTCACCACACTGTGCACGAGCCCCGTCTGTGAGCTGAGGGCCCCGGCCCGTGCTGGGCACTCACACGCCCCCTCCCCCCTCCCCGCTCGCCGTGAAACTCGGAAACCAGGTGGTATTCTCGGGATGCGTGTAAGAGGTGCGAGAATTGTCGTCACAGTCAGTTGTGGTCACTCACGTGTTGTGTCCCGGGTCCAACAGCTGCTGGCCACCCACGGGAACACATGTCATTAACAACATGAGGAGCGGCACACGTGCCCTGACTCGGGGCACCGGGCGGGTCTGGGTCACCCCTGGAGGGAGTGGGGCGCCGCCCCCCGGGGACCCCTCGCCTCCCCATCCCCATCCCCGTCCCCGTCTGTGGTTCTCAGAGGTACGGGGCGGGGCTGGCACTCCCACGCCCTCCAGGAACCCGTGTGGTTCCGTCTTTGTCGACCCAGAGCGGGGGGTAGGCCTGATGGCAGGCGAACAGCATCGCGGCTGCACCCTCGCACTGTGAACACTTCCTGGCGGGCTCTGTTCACGTGCTTTGCTGCCCGGTCGTCCCTCGGCCCGTCCCGCGCGGGCAGCAGGTGTAAAGGCCGTCCGGGGCGCCCGCAGCCAGCCGTCCGGAACTTACCGTGGGGCTGGAGAAAGCTGGGCGTTCTCAGTGTGGCAGCGGGAAACGGGGCGCTTCCGAAAATACCACTCTGTGCTTTTACCTCAAGAAGTCAAGAGGGGCGTTAGAGTCCGAGTAAGAGCGGTGTGCCTGTAGGAGCTAAAATTCATACGACCGACCGACTGGCCCCGGGGACCGTAAACCCATCCAAAACTGGTTCAGTAAACAGGCTGATAGAGTAGAAAAATACCGGTCAGTGTAGGCCGAAAAGTTTCAGAGGGCACGAACAATGCTGATTACACGGCAGGGCAGGGTGGCGAGAGGCACGGGAGAGTGCCACGGGCAGCTTCTCGGTTCTCTTGTAGACGCGTGCGGGGTAGGAGATTGGTTAGGGGAGGAAAAACCTGCTGGGGACTCCCAGAGAGGATTTTCTCAGTGGCAGAAGCACTGAAGGATCAGAGGAAGTGGGACACCTAGGTAAGTGGTGAAAATAAAATTAGAACGGCGCTTGTGTGTGCATCGCCGTGGAAACTCCCCCGAGAGGCAGCTCGCTGGTGTGCAGGGGGGGCCACGCCACGGGATCCACCCGAGGGAAGCTGTGGGTCAGGCCTGCCCCCGACTCGACCCAGAGACGCATCGGTGAGCAGACTCAGCAGTTCCTTAAAAAAATCCCCGACTCTTGGTTTCGGCTCAGGTCATGGTCTCACGGTTTGTGGGGTCGAGCCCCACGCGGGGCTCGGTGCTGACAGCGGGGAGCCTGCTTGGGGTTCTCTCTCCCTCTCTCTGCCCCCCTTGCTTGTGCTCTCTATCTCTCAAAATAAACAAACATTAAAAAAAAGAAATCCCAGCGCTGTGACCAAGGTTCCTACGTCTAAAAGCAGCATGTGGTGGACACAGGCTGAGCAAACAAACACCAGAAGCAGGAAGGACAGCAGGTCGTGTTCACCCATTCGTGACGTGGAACAAACCCACCTCCCAGAAACCCAGGGGTGGGAAGGTACTTTTTTGTCAGCAAAGCACATCTGCTACAGCCCAGAGCAAGTCCGCACTTGATGGGAAATGTCGTCACCAGCATCAACCACAGGACAGCAGATGTGATGTCTGTGCTACGTTCACTTCCTCACCTTGTGGGGCCACTAGACAGTTTAAACTCACACACACGGCTTGTCTCCCACCTGCTGGGTGGTGCAGCTCCTGACAGGGGACCCGGGAGCGCCTGCAGAGAAACCGCGGGGCCGTCCGGTGCGGGTAACGGACGAGCAGGGGGGCGGCTGTGGGCCCTGCAGCCGGTCGGCCGGGAGCTGGGAGACGTCGCTGTGCACTTTCTCCTGGCCTGTCTTTTCTGTCCTCCCTGCGCCGAAACCTACACGTTCGAAGCATGTGTTACTGCAAATAATTGTAAGTTGCATCTGTTGATCACCAATCCTTTGTAAGTTTAAGCTTTGCCATCCGTCCCCTGCCCTGTTTCCTCCCTGATCGCTGAGATGCTGGCCCTCTGAGACCCCGAGGCTCCTGAGCGTGTGTCCCCAGGCGTGTGCCCCCAGGCGGGGACCACAGCCTGGTTCTGTGCGCACAGGCGCCTGGTTTTAGGAATGGCCATCTGTCCACCGTGTTCCTTCCCTGACCCCTCTGGTGAACCATGTGTCCATCCCCACGGAGCCCCTCCCGTGGTGTCACCCCGACCAGACTGCCCGTTTGGAGGTGGGCTGGCTGTGCCCCGTTCTCTGCTGGGCTCCTGCCCGTGATGTCCTGGGGCTGGAGAGTCACGGGCATCCCCAGTGCTCCTGAGCTCCCGCATCCACCTCACCGCGGGGAACCTCAGCGCTGCAGAGGCGTCCCCGGGTTGTGCTGGGGCTCAGGCGTGTGCCGGGGTGGGCCCCAGAGGGGCTCAGGTGCGGGACTGTGGGCGCCGGGGTTGGGGGATGGTGGTGCAGCCCAGAGCCTCGGCAGGACGTCCTGGCCACTCGCCGCCACATGTGAGGGCAGGCGTGGCGTTTCCACGCCAGCTCCAGGCTGGCTGCCCGTGCGGAGTCCGCCGATTCCGGAATGACCTCGCCTCTGTCTTCCCAGATGGCCTTCATGACGCTGACACTCTTCCCCATCCGGCTGCTGCTCGTCCTGATCGCGATGCTGCTCGCCTGGCCCTTCACGTTCTTCGCCACGCTGGGGTCCTCGGAGAGGGAGCCCGAGCCGTCCCCGGCCTCGTGGCGGAAGTAAGTCACCCATCTGCAGGGCCATCGCGTGCCCCGGTCCCTCCGGCCTTCCTCCCCCCCCAGGGCCTGGAGCACGCCAGGCTGCCCTCTCCCGGCCGGGACACCGCCGACCACATGCCCCCTTCCCCTTGGGGAGTGGCCAGTTCCGCCCCTGCCGTGCCCCCACCGCACCCCTGCCCTGAGGGGGTCCTTTGGGGCCGGGCTGCCGTTGGCGTGTCCTCAGCACAGAGATTCCCCGTGGGTTTCCGTGTCCCCAGCCCTGCAAGGTTGTGTGTCGGCCAGCGTCTGGCCTTCTCGTTGGTCTGGTCTCCGCAGGGTCCAGCGACCCTCCCTGCTTCGTACACCTGGAAGGTCCCTTGCGTTTGCTCACCAGATACTGACAAAGGAGAGCCGTCTGTAGACGGACGAGTTGTGAATACATCTCAGTCAGAGACCCAACGTGGACCACAGGAAGTTAAATGAAATCACAGTATTTTCTTGTTTCTTCCTAAAGCTGTTCGCAGAGTATACGCATTAGTAAATGAAGGTGGCAAGTGTCAGGAGGACTTCGAGAAGTATTTCCAGCGTCCTGGAAGTTGTCGTTTCTGTCGTAAACCCGGAGACTTCCCCGCTCTCCACACCCTAACGCCTCTCGGCAGCCATACGGGGCCCTTGAACGGTCTGTTCAGAAAGAGTTACTACTAGGCCCGCACAGGGGTCAGCAGAAAGGTGCACATGCCAGGTCCAGCTGCACTCGGTTTACCAACAGCTCTGCTGGAGCCCAGCCACACCCGCTGACCCGCGTACCGCCCAGGAGGGTGGAGCCGCCAGGGCAGACGGAGCCCAGGGCATTCGCTCCTGGGCCTTAAGGGGTTTGAGGGACAGGCTCGACTTCCTGCACCGGGAGCGTGTCTGCTCTCTGCTCTCTGCTCTGCAGGAACACCATGCCCACGGCCGGCAGGCGGGAGCTGGCGGGTCCTCGGTGCCCGTGGTCCCGACACGCACCTGTCGTGCTCACACAGGGCACCGACATGCGGGGCAAAGACGGCCAATTTCGAGTCAAGCGTTTGCTGAGCCAGTGATGAGTAAGGCGTGGCCATGCTTGGGGACGGTCCAGGTGCCTGGGGGACCCCTCACACAGGGTCTTTGTGTGCACCCCCTGCTGTGTTTCACGTTCTTGGACCATCATCGGTACCAAGTGAGCCACAGTCTGTCTCCCTCCCGGAGGTCCCAAAGGCAGGCCGTGACCTGTTCCCATTCTGTCCCCAGCACAGCCCCTGGCCCGGGGACGCCAGGAAGCAGGTCCCGAGGGAGGGACAGCTGCTTGGCATTCCTGTCCACTGTGGTCACCTGGGTGCACTGGGGTCATCACTGGCTCTGGGGTCCTCGTTCTGACTTTTTGGGTTTCTTAATTCTCTGAAGAGCTTGCTTAACCTGGAGGGTGTTTTTCAATGTTTTAGCCCTAAAATAGGGATTTAGTGTCAAATGTGTAATCAAACAAAATCTAGACCAAATAGAGATCAGAATTTCAGTGTCGCTAGGTTGAGAATCCATAGCTAGAAAGCAGAGTTTTTTTGTAGTTTTTGACAAACTACAAGTGATTTGACTAAAAATTTGAGGTTTGCTTAACCTGGAGGGTGTTTTTCAACGTTTTAGCCCTAAAATAGGGATTTAGTATCAAATATGTAATCAAACAAAATCTAGACCAAATAGAAATCAGAATTTCAGTGCCACTAGGTTGAGAATCCATAGCTAGAAAGCAGAGTTTTTTGTAGTTTTTTTTTGACAAATTACAAGTGATTTGACTAAAAATTTGAGGTTTGAGTCATGATAGGTTAACACGACTTCCCGGCATTTTTGTCTTAATTCCTTCCTTCTTCAGCTCTGTCCCTGGGCTGGGATCCCCTCCTCTGTCCACACACACAGTGCAGATTCTGTCTTTTCAAAGTACGGGACTCTGGGCTGCTCTCCATTCCCCGTGCCCACCCCGTGCGGCTCCACGTGGCTCCTTCGGTGACAGATGGGCCACTGCCTCCCAGGTGCCTCGTGTGCCCAGAGCATGCCTGAGAAGTGTCCTCGGCAGCGAGAAATAGAGGTGTCTGTGTCCGTGGAGACCACACGTCACTGTGCACACACGTATGAGTGTGTATACGTTTATGTGTGTGCGACCATGAATACATGTCTGTGTGGGAGTGCAAGCATGTGTGTGTGTGTGTCCAAGCATGTGCACGTGCATATGTGTACCTGTATGTGAGCGTGTGTGTATGTGTGTGTACAAGCATGTGCGTGTACAAGCATGTGTGTGTGCATATATGTATGAATGTGTATATGTGTGTGAGCATGTGAGCACATGCATACATACATGTGTGGGCATGTGAGTGTGCATGTGTTGTGTGTGAGCATTTGTGTGTATGTACATGCACGTGCAGGATGTGTATGTGTGCACACATGTGTATATGCATGTGTGGGTGTGTACATGAGTGTGTGTATGTATATGTGTGTACAAGCATATGCATGTGTATATACGTGTGAATGTATATGCATGTGTGCAAATGTGTGCACGTGTATATGCACATGTGGGTGTGTGCACAAGTGTGCATGCGCATATGTGTGTACAAGCATGTGCATGCGTATGTGTGTGCACATGCTTGCATGTGTGTATACATGCATGTATAGGTATGTGCGTGAGTATGTGTATTTGTATACAAGCACGTGCATGTGTATATATGTGAATGCATGTGTATATGCAAATGTGGGTGTGTACACGTGTGTGTGTGTGTGTGTGCGCGCGCAAGCCATGCACAGCCCTGAGCTGGGTCTGGTGCTGGAGGGAAAACACGAGTACCATCAACACTGAACTCCTTAAAGGAGAAGGTGGAGACAAGATGCCTGATCCAGGGACTCAGGAGTTAGGAGGAAACGGATTAGCGCACACGGGCCTGTGCGGAAGAGTCATGGGGTCGGCCGGGAGGTGTGCAGTTTCACGCCTTGCAGAGTCGTGCGGGTCTGAGCGGGCTGATGCTCCTCCGTCGGGGAGGGTCTTTGCCGAATGTAAGCTGCTGCCACTCGGACTTGCTAAAGGAAAAGCCTTGGGCCTCCAGGGAAGGGAGGAATGAACAGTCTCACAACACACTTACTTACTTCCAACCACAGTCGTGTAAACAACCGGCACATCTTGCAAAACCCGACCAGCGGGCCAGCGGTGGAGGATGGTCCTCGGCGTTGCCTCTTGGGCCCACTCACATGGTTAGGAAGGGCCGGTGGTAGTCCCCTTGGGCCACCGCAGCCACGTGCCACAGGCTGGGGAACAGCGCGAGGTTGCGAGGGCTGGAGTCGGGCAGATCCGGCTCCTGGCCTGCGCACGTGCTCTCTCGAGGTCCTCACCTGGTGGGCAGCTCCGGTCTGTCTCTCACGGGACACCTGTCCCATCGCGCCATAGCCCCGCTCTTAGAGCCCCATCGAACCTCATTTCCAGTTACAGACTCTTCGTTCGCCTGTTGCTAATGGGATGCTGAGCCCGAGCATAGCCTGCACGTCTGCCCCCTCGCGTCCACGCTGCGATGATGCTCTCCTCCTGGGGGTCCCCGAGCCCCCGGCCCCCCATCACACGTTCCTCTTCTGCTGGGTGCAGCGACTTTCTGCAGGTTTTGGGCGTCGTCTGTCTCCTCGGCCTGGTTGGGGTTTTTTTTTTTTTTTTTCCCCTTGTTTTTTTCCTCCCAAGATTTTGTGGAGCTTCGGGGTTTTTTCTCAGAGGACAAGCAGGAGAAACTGAGGTGCGTTTCGTGTCCGGGAGTCTTTGTTTTCCCCTCGGTGTTGACGGGTAGCTTGTCAGGGCGCAGACGACGGGTTCCAGACCTTCCATGCCCGGGGCCGCGAGATGTGAGCGTGCCGTGCTGCCCGGGTAGCCCATCTGCTCTTCTGGAAGTTTTAGCATCTTCTGTCCGTCCTTGGGGATTCGAAAAACTCTCGAAGGAAGTCGTAGGAGTCTGTGGTTTCCTGTTAAATTTTTCGTGTCCAAATTTTCCCTGCCTGTTCCCCGGGGAATCCTGCTCACTCCTCAGCTTCCCAGGGAACTGGCTGCTTCTGCAGCGAGAGGCTGGATTTGCCAGACTGTTGCCTCGTCCCCTGCTCCTTTCACAGCACCCCGTTCTGGATTCTAACAGCTCGAGGACGGTGTGGACCGCAGCCTCTCCCCTGGTCGGTCTCTTCTCCATCACGGGGCTGGTTGTGCTCACGTCTCAGGTTCTTGGGCTCCCGCCTGGGCGATGCAGCAAGAACGCCCTTGTGCGTGTAGGTCTGTGTCCTGCCTCTCTATTCCCAGGAAACGCTCCGGGCACCTCAGGCTTGTCGTTGCTGCCTGAGCCTGGCCGGGAGGCGGCGGGCCAGGAGGCCTGCTCCACGTCCGCAGGCCGGCTCTTCCCAGTGGGCGGTGTCCTGGGGATGGCAATCCCCGAGACCTCAGAGAATCGTCAGGGGTGCTGCATGCATCCGCCCGCTCCCCCCCCCCCCCCCCCCGCTTCTGCTTAGTGCCCTTTGGCCTGTTGGCCTGAGGGGTGGTGGGTGTGTGTCCAACAGAAACATCAGGATTTGGTCCCCACTTCCCACCAGCCCCCCTCTCCTGCACCCGGCTTCCCGGGACTGGCTCCCCTTCCGCCACAGCCTGCCCGGCGCCCCCTTCCTTACGCATCAGCAGGTGTCAGCTGGCTTTGATTCTTGCACGTGTTCCTGTTAGGAAAAGTAGCAGACGCGCACACAAACACGCTTAGCAATGTGCGCTTGGACACGTAAGGAAGCGATCACACCCGGTTGTGGCGATGTGGGGATGTGTGAGCCTGGCCCCCAGCAGGTGCACAACCACACCGGGATTGTTCATCCCCTGCAGGCGACGGCGGCTCAAGGCGGCCCCGTGAGGGACTGCTGCTCAGAGCCGTCGGGCCTCGTCTTCCAGAACTCTCTTGAGGGGATCAGTCCCGTGAGATTTCCGGCTCTTTTCTGTCGCTCAGTCCTGTCATCGTCCACCTGATCTCATCTAGAAAAGGCTTAACAGCGTGGCATCCGGTCCTGGGACCACGGGCAGCCTGAGGGAGGTGGGACCGTGGTTTCTCACCACAGGCCTCTGCTCCTGGTCTCGGCCTGACTTCACTCCTGATTTTACTTCCATTTTGCATGTTTTAGCGGGCTGATGTTTCTTTAAAACCTCCGTGCTCAGGATGCGAATCCGTCACCTTCCATTGCTTGCGGCCCCGGAGTCTGTGAGGTCGGGACTCTGTGTCTTTACACTGCTGTGAGGCGTGGCACAGCCGCTTCCGTTTTCCTAACAAAGTCACAATGTTGCACGTCTACACAGAGGGACGAAAGCACACCACCTGTTTTCTTCCCTCCTCCGGCCGGTGCACGTTTCGGATCAGCCTGGACGGCACCCTGGATGGCCTGACAGGTCAGGTCCGTGTGCACGGGGCCGGCCTGCGACCCCCCTGCCCTGCCTCGGTTTGACCAAGCACCTTCTTTTGCAGGGTCGTGGACGTCCTGCTCAAGGCCATCATGCGCACCATGTGGTTTGCCGGAGGCTTCCACTGGGTGGTGGTGAAGGGGCAGCAGGCCCCACCCTCTGAGGCTGCCATCCTCACTCTGGCGCCCCATTCCTCCTACTTCGACGCCATCGCTGTCACCATGACGATGTCCTCCATCGTGATGAAGGCAGAGAGCAGGAACATCCCAATATGGGGAAGTGAGTGAGCTCCCCGTCCCCATGTGGGACATGAGTCCCCCCCTCCTACTGGGAGTGAGTCCCCTCCACCTCCTGCTGGGAGTGAGTCCTCCCCCTTCCTACTGGGAGTGAGTCCTCCCCCTCCTACCGGGAGCTAGTCCTCCCCACTCCTGGGAGTGAGTCCTCCCACCTCCTACTGGGAGTGAGTCCTCCCCCCCTGCTACTGGGAGTGAGTCCCCTCCACCTCCTACTGGGAGTGAGCCCCCCACCTCCTACTGGGAGGGAGTCCTCCCCCCTCCTACTGGGAGTGAGTCCCCTCCACCTCCTACTGGGAGTGAGTCCTCCCACCTCCTGGGAGTGAGTCCTCCCC